GTACAGATAGGTCTCATTCTTCCTCAGGCTTGAATAATTTTTTTTTTACAGTAGTAGTAGGCTTTTATTTTTAATACCTATTATGCTATGAATTCATAAGGAAAAGGTTCCAGTAGCTCAAGGAGGTTCCTTGCCTTGAATGTGATGAAGCTTTGTATGACTATTATACCATGAATTCATGGGGAATAGGTTTCAGCACCTTATATTACTGTTAAATGGGTCTCTTGGTTATCCTGTGTGCTATGCTGTATGCCAATTATGCTATGAATTCATGGGGAATAAATAGATTCCAGCACCTAATATCACAATCCCATTGGTTCTCTTAGTTCTCCTGTATACTACACTCTATGCCTACTATGCCATGAATTCACAGGGAATGGGTTCCAGAGTTCAGGCTCCTTTCCATTGGTTCTAACAAACTGGGCTTCTCTGGATGGAGCAGGCTGGCGCTTTAGTTGAACCCAGGTACCTTTCCCTTTGGCTTCCTTCTTTTTCTGGTCATTTTCCTTCACACATTTCAGAAAGCTATCTCGGCTCTTAGAGTGCTTAATATGCTCAATATGAACATTAATCCTCTTGACAAGAATCTTGTCCTCAACTTGTTTGTTTACAACAGTGCCAACAGCATGCTGGGTAACATCATAGACTCTTCCAGTTTTGCCCTGATAACATCTATGTGGCATGCCTTTTTGAACAGTACCCCTTCTCCTGATGTCTACAATGTCACCTTTCTTGTAGATGTACATACATGTGGCTAAAAGAACAACAACTCCATGTTTTCTAAAAGGCCTAGAGAACATGTATTGGGTGCCTCTCTCTCCTCTTTCCCTTTGTGTTTGTCATTTTGGTGAATTACTGGAAGATGGCATCTCCTGCCAAAAGAAAGATTGAATGATATTTTTAAACCTTTAACATGTGTCATGCACTACAGTAAGTGCTTGCTCATTTAATCTTCATGGTATTTTCAGGAAGTAGCCACTACTACTATTATCTCCATTTTGTAGATGAGGAAACTGAGGGGTGGAGAGGTTCAGAAGCTTGACCAAGTCTTAACTGGTACCAGACCAGGATTGAAATCCAGACCTGCCTGCCTTGGGAGCCTCCATGGCAGACTCTATAGTTAGCTTTGAGCTGCAGCCATCAGAGAGGCACCTAAATACCTCTTACCAACCTCTGGACTTGAAATTCTGTGAAACAAAACATGGGCAAATTTAGATTTCTGTTAACTTGTAACCAGCCAAGGAGGTGTCCGGAGTAATGATCCTATTTAGCATATTGAGTCCTCGCATTTGAATGGGAGTCCTCAGATCAGCGTTCTCAGACAGGGTTCATAGTCTGGCTGCTCATCTCAATGATGCTGGAGAGGTCAAAATGTGGATTCCAGGCCCTGTATGTTGAGATTCTGGATAGCTAGATCTTAGACAGGACCCAGGAATTGCATATTTTAGTAAATGCTTCAGGTAATTCTGATGCAGCTTCCCAGTTTGGGAACCACTGTTCTAAGAAGCAGGCTTTGGGAGATAGAGCTCTAAGGAACACTTTTATGTGGGCTATACAAACTTTCTCAGTAGCTGCTCCAGTTTTACAAAATGCACATTAGTTGAAGGACCTTCTGTTTTGAAGAGCTAACAAGAATACCTGGTGTTTTAATGGTCCTCATTCAAAACTCAGCAGGGTTTTATGGGTTCTGATAACTCAGTTCCCCAGATGCTATTTGGAGAATGAAAGTCACCTTCCAGTCATACATAGAACACACAAGACAGGTGATTCTGGGTAGGCCACCAAAGCCAAGAGAAATGACTGAGGCTACAGCTTATATTCCTAAAATGTTCTCAGTCACCTAACAGGAACATTGAATCTTAGTTGGGTTTCAGGAGTTGGGTGACCCTGATGGTGGGCAATAAGACCTTAAGGTTCATATTCTCTGACCCATAGTCTACTTCTTAGATTCCGACCCAGAAAAATAATTAGAGAAGTATGCAAAAACTGTACACAGAGATGCTGCTCAGAGCTGTGTCCCTGAAAGCCAAATATTTCAGACAACTTACGTGCCCAGCAAATAGGACATGGTTCCATTAAGCATGCAGCCTTTAAAAAGCGTGTTGCCAAGGAATCTTTACCACTATGTTTGCAAAACAATTGTTACTGAGAATGTTGATATATACATATATACACACATGCTCTGTATAATGTTGATATATAGATACATACATACACCATATAATCCCAATATAATCCCAATTCTTTTTTTTTTTTTAATTGAGACAGAGTCCTCAGTAGAGTGCGTGGCATCATAACTCACAGCAACTTCAAACTCCTAGGCTCAAGTGATTCTCTTGCCTCAGCCTCCCAAGTAGCTGCAACTACAGGTGTGCACCACAATGCCCGGCAATACACACACACACACACACACATATATGTATATACATACATATATATATATGGTTAGTTTGTTTAGCAGGCCCTGGCCAGCTTCGAACCCACAAGCCCTGGATCATGAGGCTGGCACCCTAACCACTGAGTACAGGCGTCCAGCCACCCAATTCTGTGTTTATAAAGATACATCTAGGCCAGGTGACGTGGCTCATGCCTATCCTAGCACTCTGGGAGGCCAAGGCAAGTGGATTGCCTGAGCTCACAGGTTCAAGACCAGCCTGAGTCAGAGTGAGACCTTGTCTCTAAAAATAGCTGGGTGTTGTGGCGGGCTAGTAGTCCCAGCTACTTGGGAGGCTAAGTCAAGAGAATCACTTGAGAATCCCTTGAGGGTTCGGTGCCTGTGGCTCAAGTGGCTAAGGCTCCAGCCACATACACCTAAGGTGGCGGGTTTGAATTCAGCCCAGCTCGCCAAACAACAATGATGGCTGCAACCAAAAAAATAGCCAGGCATTGTGGCAGGCACCTGTGGTCCCAGCTACTTGGGAGGCTGAGGCAGGAGACTCACTTGAGCCCAGGAGTTGGAGGTTGCTGTGAGCTGTGATGCCACAGCACTCTACCCAGGGGGACAGCTTGAGGCTCTGTCTCAAAAAAAAAAAAAAGAGAGAATCCCTTGAGCCCAAGAGTTTGAGGCTGCTGTGAGCTTTGATGTCACAGCACTCTATGGAAGGTAACAAAGATAGACAATGTGTCAAAAAAAAAAAATACATCTGTATTCACATATACAACAATAAAAGGAAATCTACCTATTTTTTCCTTATAGTTTCATTTTCTAAATCAGAGAAAGTTAAAAGATTAAAATATGAAAAGCATATTTTCAGAGGGTATTTTTTTCTTAAGACAGTCTCACTTTGTCCCCTTGGGTAGAGTGCCATGGAGTCATAACTCACAGCAGCCTCAAACTCCTGGGCTCAAGGGATCCTCTTGTCTCAGCCTCCCAAGTAGCTGGGACTATAGGTACCCATCACTATGCCCTGCTAATTTTTCTATTTTTAGTAGACATGGGATCTCTTGCTCAGGCTGGTCTCAAACTCCTGAACTCAAGCAATCCACCCACCTCAGCCTCCCAGAGTTATTAGGATTACAGGTGTGAACCACCACGCCTGGTCTTCAGAGAGTATTTAATAAAATGGAAAATGCTTATGATATAATATTAAGAAAAAATATAAGATACAAATATATGTTCAATATGGTGCCAATTATTAATAGTTTTCTAAAACTATACACATACACAGTAGCTCCACATAACGTTTTAGTCGAGGAGGGACTGCAGATGGGATACTATAATTTTACTCTACCTTTTCTACTTTGAGTTATGTTTAGATATACAAACATTTTCCACTGTGTTATGGGTGCCTACAGTATTTGGTACAGTAACACACTGTATATATATATAGGTTTGTGGCCTAGGAGCGGCAGGCCACACCATTTTTCAGGAGGTATCCCCATTGTTAAGAGACACATGACTATTATGTGTGATAATATGGATATACAAGCTGTTCAGTCTGGATAGTGGAATTATAAGTAGTTATTTTCTTCATTCTATGTGCACATCTTTTCCAAATTTACTGTATTGGGAATGTATTATGTTTTAAGCCAGAGAGAAAAGACAATGAATTGCATTTTAAACAACAGTTTACATGAGGAACATTTCTCTGGGGTCTTCTTGTCCCTGTTGGGAGCTCCTTGCAGCTGGGGTGTGGCATAACCATGAGAAACGACTGTGTCTTCTGAGCTCCACAGCTCCCAGACAAACACCCACCTCCCAGGGGCACCCCAATAACACTGCTAACTTGATAGCAACTATACGGTGAGGACAGAGATGATGATAATAACTGCCATCACCTCCCTGTGTGCCCAGTGCTTCCCAGACATCCTGAAATATGTCATCCCTGAAATCCTATGAGGCTGGCTCTTACCCAGCAAGAGGCGAATCAAGGCCAGAGCCCTAGTCTGCCCACTTCCAACACCCGTGCTGGTGAGCTGCACTCCAACCAATATCACATTTCTCTTTAAGGAATATGTCTTTTAGGAATAGCACATATCTTCATCGTCAGTTACTGAGGAGTGAAATCTGAAATGCCCAGAACCTTCTTTCTGATCCATTTATGTAAGAAAAATCTTTAAATTTTTAGTTTGACCTATAATTATTGTTCCCAGAGGTTTTTTTTTTTTTTTTTTGCCTTCCTTTTTTTTTTTATAAATAGCATATCCTGCCACTGTTCTTGTTTTTGTTCCACCTACCTTCTCTTCAGATGGGTAAAAGCCGATTGCTCTCATGACAAAAGGAAGCTCCGACAGGCAAATATGTTCTGATACCTTTCTGGTCTCCATTGTATCGATATCTTGACTGCGGAGCTGAGAATAGTAGAAATAGTCTTCTAGCTCCTACGTGGAAATAAAATAGAAATGCAACACACACTTTGGCTTAAGTCTGAAGCATCCATTAAGACTTCAAGGTCATTTTGTAGAAAATATATTTTGAACCCACCAGCCTCTGTGTATGTGGCTGGTGCCATAACCACTGTGCTACAGCAGTTTGGAACCCAGCCGGGCCAGCTAAAACAACAATGATAACTGCAACAACAATAACAAAAAGAATAGCTGGGCATTGTGGCAGATTCCTATAGTCCCAGCTACTAAGGAGGCTGAGGCAAGAGAATCACTTAAGCCCAAGAGTTGGAGATTGTTGTGAGCTGTGACGACACGGCACTCTACCGAGGGCAACATAGTGAGACTCTGTGTCAAAAAAAAAAAAGGAAAGAAAATACATTTTGAGCTCAATGGGGAAAAGAGCTCTGGAATGAAACAAAAGGGTTAACCCTGGGCATATCTGTTTTACAAACTTAACTAGATGTTACCAGGAAGTGTTTACTCTGAGGACAATTACCCTGTAGAATTTTCCTTCCCTGCCACCAGACACCAGACCATAGAACGGGATCAGGTCATCACCCCCAAGAGAAACTGCTGCCTCCAGGGCGCTGGAACAGTAACAGAAACATGACTATTAGAAAGCATTCATGCACGAACACGCTTCAGACAGTGGTCTGCACAGCACCGTGGCCCTCTGAAGAGAATCACCTCGCAGATACAATCAGGGTCTCTGTAATTTCATTAATAAAAATCCCTCCAAAATGAAGCTAAAAACGGAAAATTCAATTCCAAGTGTGGAACTCGGTGGTACAGGGCACCTGGCTTAATTATGGTCATATTCTCTCACTGATGACAGGGCAAGTGCTTGACAGTTTGTCTGTAATCTGTGGGAATGTCTCTCCTGAGACACAGGAGAAGTCACAATCCTCCCAAGGATTGTTCTTAAGTCACAATCCTCCCAAGCAGAGCAGCTTTACCTGTAACTTCAGATCCACAATGACCAGAGCCAAAAGAATGGCATATTGTGCAGGTGGACTGCCAACACTAATTGCTTCCATAAAAACTCAGGAGACCATAGGGACCCATGCCAGTCAGATAAAAATAACCCTCTACTCTCTAACACAGGGTCAGATTTTCCAAAAATAGGCCCTTTAAATGCTAAGAAAACCTACTTTTGTATAAGAATGATTTTGCCTCATACAAAAGGCTAATAATCTGAAATCATTATAATAATCCACTAACTGGATTTCTGCTAATCAGGCGATTAGCCTCTTTACTCAGGAATTAAAACACACTTCGATGTAGACCACAGTGGGGAAGTGATTAGGTATCCGGAATGTGGAAGCACAGGGACACATGTGTGAGTCCTGGCTCTGCCACTTGCAAGCTGTGTGACTGTGAGCAGGTAGCTTCATCTTCCTGGCCTCTGTCTGCTCAACTGCAAAATGGGAAGATTTATAGAGCTCGCTTCACAGGTTGCTGTAAGAATTCCATATGTGAATGCACATAAAGGACTGGAGACAAAGCCCTTAATTTCCCTCCTGTAATGAATGTTGGTTGAGATGTGGGGTCAGCTCCCAACCCACCAGTTATTCCATCTCCTGGGCAGCCATTTAACGCCTTCGAGCTAGTTTCTTGATCTGTCACAGGATAGCCGTGAAGAAGAAATCAGATAATGCACACAAAGCACTCAGCACAGGGCCTGGCCCAGAGTAAAGGCTCACAACAAAGAGGTGAGGATGATAATGACCATGGAGATGGGTGTTGATAGGCCCCTTTACTCCTCACAGAGGACTGTTCTTGGTCCCCTTCCTGGGGTTCTTTGCACAAGTCCATGTGCTGGGTGAGAGTCTGGGGGACCTGGTATATTCACCAGATGGGCCTGAGAGCCCCCTCCAGCAAGGCCCACTCTTCACCCCACCCTTGGCTCTCATATTAGGCTGTGGAGGCAGGTACGCAGCTGAGAGGGCTTCCTCTCTGTGGCCTTAAAGCCAGGCCTAGGCCTGATCTTGACAGGCTTCCTGAGTAATGAGGTCACTTTTAGCCATGTGGTTCTAGGCTGGAAGTGACACGGAGGAGTTGTCACCACCAAGACCCCAAGGGGAAAGGCTCACAAGATTTCCTGGTCCTCTGGAACAACTCAATACTCTGGGCTCCAGTGATCAGGGAGATCCTATGTGCCGTACTTCCTGGCCACTGTCAACTGACCCATACTGGGATTGCTCCAACCAGAGGTGGGAAAAGAGAGTCACTCTCTCTGTAGTGAGAACTACAATTTGTGAAATTTGGGAACTATCAGTGGCCATGTTCTGCAGAAAATGAAGCCAACAGCACAGATGATGCAGAGGGCACCTGCAGGTGCTGCTGTCTCTGCTGTCCTGCTGTGTAGCTCATGTTAACGACTCTCTCATAAATCTCCTTCTAAGTTGGGTTTCTAACACTTTGTGCCTCTAACATTGAGGCACAAAAGGGAAGTGACATTTACTACTACTCTGTACCCGGCAATATATATGGTACTTCCAGGAAATGAGCTAAAGCTCAACCAGCCATGAGCACCACCACGATGGTACATGGTAAGTGCCCAGGACATGCTCCCTGGAGGAGGAAGAGGAACAGTAACGACAGCAATCATCACCCTCAAAACAACTCCTAACTCTGTAAGTAGGTGGTGGAGCTGAGATGTGAACCCAGGTCTCTTTGCTCCTGGCTGAGCAAGGCAGCAGGATGGCAGGAGGCAGTGAGGCTGAGCATAAAAAGGTAATGGGGGATTTTGAGACAGATCCCAGACAAGGAGAGGAAAGGGGTGGCAAACTTTCAAAGATAGGGAGGAAGAAATGTGGGATGGAGAGGGCTCTCCCAGGGAAGTTCTGTATGCTGAGACAGTAGTGCTTTGGGGTTTGGGGGGTACAGTGATTAAAACAATCAGAACATGGGCAGCCTGTTAGGGACCCCTTCCTTTGTGTTGGAAACTTTCCTATCTTTTTCTAATAAACTATTGTTCTATTGCTTAAAAAAATTAATAATAATAAACAGAATGTGAGAGGATTTATCCTCCTTGTTTCACCCTATAACTTGTCCCCACCAGGAAAGCTACTAGAGAATTTTGTTTATTTATTGTTTAGGGTTTTTACATTTCTTTCCATTAGCAAAGCACTGAACATATTAAGTCACCAGAAGCAGTAATGAAGTGCTAATTAGTTTATAATGATCCTTTGTCCCCACAACAGATTAAATTGATATTCTCAGAAGCCTGGACTCTGGCCAAGCACAGGAAAGCTATGGGAAAGCGGGGGCCTTTTTTTCTCTTTAGATCTCTACCACTCCAGAGCCCATGATGACTGAGAAGGGAACAAAAATGAAAAAGGGAAGAGCCTGCTCTCCCGCAGGGTGCTGCTTGCCCTGGTGGTCTAGGTAACAGTCTAGGTAGCAAGGAATCAAGCAGCTCATTCTGAGGACAGGAAGGGAACGTATTTTTCAATCAGAACGCTCACCTCCAGCTTCTAAGTCCCAAGAATCCCAAGATCTGCTCTCTCAGGTGAAGGCAGAGGTGAAAGTCAGAGTTGCAACTGCAATCTGAAGCCACCATAGCTCCAAAGCAGATTTCACTGGCTATTTTTGCTCATATTTGGGTTAAGAGAAGAAGCTTCAATGTCTGCCATAAAAAGAAAGATATGTGCCTGGCAGATGGCAGGGGGTACACTTTACTAGAAGCCATGAATCAAATATGTTCTTTGAGGAAGGAAGGTGCCTCTGAGCTGGTTCTGCCTGGCTCCTTACTGTCACAGGGTCAGGAGAGAGGCCCATCTGTGACAGGCAGGCAGAGAGAGCTTGGAGAAGGTGGTCAGAACAGGAAATGGCTGCTGAGTGGTTTATTCTGCCCAGGGGAGCTTGCTGCATTTGGATAGACGAGAGGATCAAGTGAGTGCCTGCCCCCCCCCTTTTTTTTTTTTGAGACGGAGCCTCAAGCTGTCCCCCTGGGTAGAGTGCTGTGGCATCACTCACAGCCATCTCCAACTCCTGGGCTCAAGTGAGTCTCATGCCTCCACCTCCCAAGTAGCTGGGACCACAGGCGTCCACCACAACGCCTGGCTATTTTTTTGGTTGCAGCTGTCATTGTTGTTTGGCGGGCCGGGGCTGGATTCGAACCCGCCACCTTAGGTGTATGTGGCTGGCGCTTTAGCCCCTTGAGCCACAGGCGCCGAGCCAGCCTGCCCCCTTCTTTAGTGATAAAGATCCTGGGCGCCTAAGTAAGGACCCTTGTTAGAAAGAAGGGAAGAAAGTAATCATTAATTTACTGAGTACTGGCTTGGCACCTGTGGCTCAAGTGGCTAAGGCGCCAGCCACATACACCTAAGGTGGCGGGTTTGAATCCAGCCCAGGCCTGCCAAACAACAATGACGGCTACAACCAAAAAAATGGCCAGGCGTTGTGGCGGGTGCCTATGGTCCCAGCTACTTGGGAGGCTGAGGCAGGAGACTCGCTTGAGCCCAGGAGTTGGAGGTTGTTGTGAGCTGTGATGCCACAGCACTCTACCCAGGGGGATAGCTTGAGGCTCTGTCTCAAAAAAAAAAAAATTTACTGAGTACCTAGCTCTGCACTATCCTATAAAAGTCCCTATGATTACCCACATTTCACAGAAAAGGAATCTAAAGATCACAGCTGTTAAGAAACTGGCCCTAGGTCCCACAGCTAGTAGAGAATAGGCCTCATATTGGAACTCATGTCTCTTTGACTTTTAAGTCCACATACTTTCCAATGTCCAACTCCAGAATTTTCCAGCCTTACTTTAGGCTGAGGTTCTCAGTTCAGGATGGGGAACAGTGAGAAGAGCAGACTGAAAATACATATTTCAAATAATACTCTTACTATTTCTGTAATGCATACTTTGGAGATTTGGCCTAGATCTTTCTAGTTGGGGTGGATATGCAGAACAGAGTAAGACTTATTTTAGTGAGCAAGGGTGAACCTAAGGCACAGTCACACTGCCTGAACTGCAAATGCCATGGGTCCAAGAGACTTCTGTCTGCATGTAAATGTGAACTGATGTCACAAGGAAGTAATGTGAAAGCCAGGCCTTGTAACGTCCAAGCATAGTGCCTGGCACATGGTAGGGGTTCAGTACTGGTCTACTGTTGCTGACTGAAAAGAAGGGGTCTGTTCTTGACATCCTCCTTATGGGCCAAGTTTCTTGTCCCATTACAGACCTTAAGTTGATTTTCCACTGTACAACCGAGCGATCGTGTCCTCCTGCTGTGAAGGCATAGCAACCATCGTAGGAAAGGGCCAATCCAGCCACCCCATTTGGGTGGCAAATTATAGCAGATGTCTTATGTGGATTGCCATCAACTGGTAATATCTGAAGTCCAACCTGGAAAGGAATTTGTAACTGGATATTCAGACTCAGGTAACTAGGCACCAACAGAGGCTGGCACACTCACATGTTACCTCCACTTCTGAGTGTTGGAGAGACCTGTGTGTTTGGAACCATCTCAGAGTATGAGAGCTGACTTAACATCACTAGGCATCCACATACATCAGCACTTGGGAGAGGTCCCTGAGAGGAGATGGGCTGCTGCACAGTGTCAGCAGGTACACAGAAGGGAAGCCTTCCTCCCTGCCTCATGCTCAGATGTCCAGTGTTTTCCAGAATAATTCTCACATTATGCTTTTTTTCCTTTTCTTTCTTTCTTTTTTCTATTTTTGTTTGTTTGTTTGTTTGTTTGTTTGAGACAGTCTTGCTCTGTTGCCCTGAGTAGGTGCTGTGCTGTCATAGCTCACAGCAACCTCAAACTCCTGGACTCAAGCAATCCTTTTGCCTCAGCCTCCTGAGTAGCTGGAACTATAGATGCCTCGCTAGTTTTTTCTGTTTTTAATAGAGATGAGGTCTTGCTCTTGCTCAGGCTGGTCTTGAATTCCTAAGCTCAAGGAATCCACGTGCCTTGGCCTCCCAAAGTGCTAGGATTATAGGTGTCAGCCACCACACCTGGCCTCTATGCTTTTCAATATATATTATTCATTAAATGTACGATTAAATGTAACTAATTTGCATATCTTTATAGGAGCTTTCCATGTAAATAAGAAAGAAAAATCCTTTGGTGATCTCCATAAATCCCTGTGTCTTCAGAAATGCCTCCCAAGAATCGTTTTCACTAATCTATGGCAATTTTCAGTATCACTATGACCTGGCTAGAAGTAGGGGTTTGGGCTATGAAGACAGGCCTCTCTGAGTCTTATAATCTTCGCAACTGACTGCTGTTCATCACATAGCCACTTACAGAGGTCGAGAACCAAGGGCTGCTACCTTGTCTCTGTTAATGAACACCAAGTAGCGCTTCTGTAGTTCCATGGTGGTCCTCGCTGGGAGGACTTGTGCCTGCTCAATAGGAGAACCATAAGCTGGTCCAAGGAGTGTCTTTCTGAATGAGAAAAAAGAAAAAACTTTTTAAATTCCATAAATCTGAATGTACATTTTAAGGCTTTTTGGTCATGATGTCCTTATACATTTTTCATTCTGAATTTTCTGTCTTGCCACTCAGCTAACTCTGTCCATAAGAACTTCTTTCTCCACTGCTGCCTGTGCTGCCATAAATAAGGGGCCACAGCCCCAACAGCAATGCTCCAGGGAAGCCGATTATGGAGGATGCTTTTAGCAGTAGTGATTCTGACTTCCCTCTTTGACAGCTGAGTGAAGGGAACATTATGCCTCAAGAATGTGTATGTGAACAAGGGACGAGAAAAAAGCTGTGAAGAAGTGACATGCATTGGCAGGATACAAATAAACACCCCATTCCCCAACGGGAGGCCAAGAGATTAGCACAAGATACCACACATTGTCCCAGATGTCTGATATACAGGTATGTGTGCAACATACAGATTTCCAAAAAGCTGTCTATGCATCAAATTATAATTGAATCATGTCCCAGCACTAGTTGAATCTGCTCAAAGGTGAGGATACTGGATGTTCCCTGAGACCCAGAGCTGGATTCTTCTTGAAGATACCAAAAAGTAAGCTTCAGACCCTTCACTTGTGCAGGCACCTTCTGATACCCAGGGAGGGGCCATAGCTCCTTTTTGTTTTTAATTATGTCTCCTCTTTTTTTTTTTTTTTTTTTTAAAAAAAAACAGAGTCTTACTATGTTGCCCTGGGTAGAATGCCACGGTGTCACAGCTCACAGCAACCTCAAACTCTTGGGCTTAAGCGATTCTCTTGCCTCAGCTTCCCAAGAAGCTGGGACTATAGGCGCTCACCAGAACACCCGGCTACTTTTTGGTTGTGCTTGTCTTGTTTGGCAGGCCCAGGCTGGATTCGAACCTGCCAGCTCCAGCGTATGTGGCTGGTGCCCTAGCCACTGAGCTACAGCGGCTGAGCCTCGTCTCCTTTTTTTTTTTTTTTAAGAAAAAGAGAGCCTACAAAATTGAATACCATAAGCCCTACAAACCCCAGGTCTGTCCCTGTGGAAGCTCAGCAGGGATTTCAGCTTATTCTGATAAGCCTGAGAGTTTAGATGCGGTTCCTCCCTGTATCCCCTGTTCCTAGCCCGAGTATTCCTGGGCCAGCAGGCGCTCATGTACGTGCTGGACAAATGAAGAGCAGATTCCATTCAACAAGCCTTTCCTGAGTACCTCTCTGTGCCAGGCATTGTGTTAGGTGCTCGGGATGTGGAAATGAGTAAAATATGGCTCCTGCCACTGTGGTCACAGCCTGGCAGGGACAATAGACATGGAACCAACATGAGGAGAGCAGCGTGGAAACCCAGCAAATTCATAGTGCAGGATTTTGCCAGGAAGAGTGAAGACTGGCCAAGTGACATCTAAGCTGCTTCTGGAATGGTGAATTGGAGATGCAGAGACAAACATGGAAGTCCCGGGGGCACATGAAGCAGGTGTGGGAGGTGCAAAGGTAGGGGATACATAGAATATTGTCTGAAAACTGAGGAAGCACAGGGGAAAGGAGTGGGAGGTGGAGGGAGGTGAAGTTGAATAGGGGACTGGGGCAGTTATGAAAGTGGCTTTCCCCACTGGGCTCCACGGTGCTATGGGGAGGGTGTGTATCAGACTGGGATGACCCATGAGCAAGTTCATATGCATGTCACATTAGGTGACATTTAAAAAACACTAAAATGGGCTCGGCGCCTATAGCTCAACCGGCTAAGGTGCCAGCCACGTACACCTAAGGTGGTGGGTTCGAATCCCCAGCCCGGACCCGCCAAACAACAATGACGGCTGCAACCAAAAAATAGCCGGGCGTTGTGGCGGGCGCCTGTGGTCCCAGCTACTTGGGAGGCAGAGGCAGGAGACTCGCTTGAGCCCAGAAGTTGGAGGTTGCTGTGAGCTGTAATGCCACGGCACTCTACCCAGGGGGACAGCTTGAGGCTCTGTCTCAAAAAAAAAAAAAACACTAAAATGACCACTTGCTAGACAATGCACTATCTGATTCTAAGTCATGCTTCTTTTATCGTTTAAGTGGAAATGTTGAAGGTCCTTCTTCACATGTCACTGAGAGGGTGGAGGCAGGGCGGAGCCTGCTGAAGAACATAGACTTTGATTTGAATCCTGGCTCTGACCTTTAAAAATTAGGGCAGACCAGGCTTGGTGGCTCACATCTACAATCTCAACACTTTGGGAAGCTGAGGCAGGAGGATTGCTTGAGGGCAGGAGTTCAAGACCAGCCTTGGCAATAGGAAGACCCTGTCTCTACAGAAAACTTTTAAAAAAATTAGCCAGGCATGATAGCACATGCCTGTAGTCCAGTTACTTGGGAAACTGAGGCAGGAAGATCACTCGAGCCTTGGAGTTTGAGGTTGCAGTGAACTATGATGATGCTACTGCACTCTAGCCCAGGCAACAGAGCAAGACCCTGTCTCAAAAAAAGAAAATTAGGGGCAAGTTGGGAAGAAACTGGAATCTTTATATGATGCTGATGGGAATGCAAAATGGTATAGTTGCTGTGACAAATGGCAAGATCCTCAAATGGTTAAACACACAGTTACTGTATGAACCAGTATGTCCACTCCTAGGGCTACATATAGAGAAATGAAACATAATCTACTCCCAAATGCACACAATAGCCAAAAAACAGAAACAACCCTAATGTTCATCAACTGATGAACAGATAAACAGAAAGTGGCATATCCATACAATGGAATATTATTCGGCCATAAAAAGGAATGAAGTACTGATTCATGTCACAATGTAAATGAACCTGAAGAAAAAAGTGAAAGAAGCTGGGTATAAAAGGCCATGTATCATGTGATTCCACTTATATGACTATGAATTTATATATCCAAAGTAGACAAATCCATAAGACAGAATGCAGATCACACTATAGAGAGTGGTTGCCAGGGACAGGAGGGAAGGGAAGAATGGAGAGCGACTGCTCATGGGCACTAGGTTTCTTTCTAAGGTGATGAAAATGTTCTTGAGTTGGATAGCAGTGATTGTTCAACTTTGTGAAAATACTAAAAACCACTTATGTGTATATTTTAAAAGGGTGAGTATGGTGGGTGGCACCTGTGGCTCAAGGGAATAGGGCGCTGGCCCCATATACCAGAGGTGGTGGGTTCAAACCCGGCCCCAGCCAAACTGCAACAAAAAAATAACCGGGTGTTGTGGCAGTTGCCTGTAGTCCCAGCTACTTGGGAGGCTGAGGCAAGAGAATCACCTAAGCCCAGGAGTTGGAGGTTACTGCGAACTGTGACGCCACACTACTCTACTGAGGGTGACAAAGTGAGACTCTGTGTCTACAAATAAATAAATAAAAATAAAAATAAAAAGTATTACAGGCTTGGCACCTGTAGCTCAGTGATTAGGGTGCCAGCCACATACACTGGGGCTGGGAGGTTCTAACCTGGCCTGGGCCTGCTAAACAACAACAACTACAACAACAACAAATAGCTGGGTGTTGTGGTGGGCGCCTGTAGTCCCAGTTACTTGGGACGCTGAGGCAAGAGAATCACTTAAGCCCAAGAGTTTGAGGTTGCTGTGAGCTGTGACACCACAGCATTCTATTGAGGGTGACATAGTGAGACTGTATGGAAAAATAAATAAATATTATATATTCATTGTGAAAATCTTCATACATTTACAAATAAAGAAAATAGAAAATCTACTATAACTCTACTTTGCTATACCCTGTCCCAAGATAATCACAGGTAACAGTTGGGTACATATGACTCAAGAATTTCTTATATAATTTTATATAAAAATAGAAGTATGCTATTTATGCTTCATTGGCACTTTGCTTTATCTCATACCACATATTTGAGATATTTCCATGTTACTACAGAGAGAGCTATCTTACTCTTTTTCTTTTCTAAAAGCAGCATCATGTTCCACTGCATCGATGAGCTATCATTTAACTAATCCTCTATTAATGGGCATTTGGATTGTTTCCATCTTAAAAAATATTTTCAAACAAGACATCCTCTTACTTATGTCTTGGCAAACTGTGTGAGTACTTCTGTGGGCTACATTTCTACAAGTCAAAAGATATGATAAAATTTAATTGAGGGTGACAAATTACTGTCCCAAAAGGTTACACCAATTTACACCCCCACCAGCAGCAGACGAGAGTGCCCTGTTTCCCTAATGCCTTGCCAACACCAGGCACTATCAATCATTTTTATCTTTGCTGATCTGATTTGTGAAATATGATATCTTGTTTTCATTTGCATCTTTGATATACTAGTGAGCATCTGCTCATAGGTTTATTGGCCTTTTTCTGTGAACTGTCTTTTCATGTTCTTTCAGATATTTTAAAAATCCATTTTAAATTCTTTTGGGTTTATCATGAAAAGGTAATTCCTTCCCACTTAGCTGTTGTTATGAGGCCTTATTATTCCTACAACTTAAAAGATGCTTCATGCAGGGGTTTTAGTTGGGAATGATGGAAATGGTCTGACACTAGACAGAGATGGGGCTGCACAACATTGTGAATGTACTAAATGCCAATGAATTGTTCACTTCAGTTATCTATTTTTTACAAACAGGACTTTGCTCTGTTGCCCAGGCTAGAGTGCAGTAGCATAATCACAGCTCTGTAGGCTCCAACTCCTGGCCTCAAGACATCCTCCTGCCTCAGCCTCCCAAGTAGCTGGGACAACAGGCACATGTCACCACACCCAGCTAATTTTAATATTTTGTAGAGATAGGGTCTCACTATGTTGCCCAGGCTGGTCTTGAACTCCTGACCTCAGGTGATCATTCCATCTTGACTTCCCAAAGTGCTGGGATTATACACATGAGCAATTACGCTCAGCCAATAAGTTATTTTTTGAAAAAGATGCTTTACGCTTTCAGATTGATCTTTAATAGCCAGAAACTTACAACCGTGTGTCTAAAAGTCCCTCCTGCCTCTTTTCTCTGGTTAACAACTATTAGGAGAAACTTCAAGTCTGAGGCCTGCCATCTCTAATTCTCCTACTCCATACATCCAGATTTTCTCAGGACTGGGCATATCTGAGGGATGTTCTTTGTCCAAAAAGTAGGTATCCACTGGGCCCACTGGCTCATGCCTATAATCCTAGCACTCTGAGAGGCCAAGGAGGTAGATTACTTGTGCTTATGAGCAAGATCGGCCTGAGCAAGAGTACAAGACAGTCTCTAAAAACAGCTGGGCGTTGTGTTGGGCGTCTGTAGTCGCAGTTACTTGGGAGGCTGAGGCAAGAGGATCACGTGAGCCCAAGAGTTTGATATTTCTGTGAGCTATGATGCCATATCACTCTACCAAGGGTGACAAAGTGAAACTGTCTCAAAAAAAAAAAGTAGTAATTGGGTGGCACCTATGGCTCAAAGGAGTAGGGCCCCAGCCCCATATGCTGGAGGTGGCGGGTTCAAACCCAGCCCCGGCCAAAAAAACTGCAAAAAAAAAAAAAAGTAATTATTCATTAAAGATAGTGTATGAAGATTCTGAAATCTTCCTAAAATTCTTCTTTACATATGCTTTCAAAGGTTTTCATAGTTTTTAAAAACTGTACTGGATTTCCTCTTCAATACAATGCTGAAGAGACATTGCTCAGTCCTTTTTGCTTGTGCCTTCTGGAAAACAACTGTTTTTAAAAAAAAAAAAAAAAAGATTCTGGGTGGTCCAGGCCTTTTTAGGGCCTATCTTATCTGAGATACATTTCAAAACAATCATCTTTCTTAAGCCTGAGGCCAGCTGCTGCCTTAACTTCCTTCCCCTGGGTGGGATTACTGAAACATTCTCACTTCCAGTTTCTCCTGCCTCCTCCTCTTTTCTCAGCTGTATGCAGGTATATAGCCAAACCACCAGCAGAAGCTCCCGTCCAAGGCAGAACAGGTAAGATCCCAAAGCCAGGGTTGTGTCAGGGGCCTGTAGTGCTGAGTAGAGGACAGAGGTTAGGCCGGGTTCAAGGGTCAATTCTTCCCCTGCTTGACCTTGGGCAAATAAGACAGTCTCCCCAAACCTCAGCAGGATATTCTATAGGATTGTTGAAGATGAAACAGGATGAGGTATGCAGGCTCTGGTGCAGAGATGGTGTACAATAATAAATGCTTATCACAAAGGGCAACCCCGGGGACCTGCATAGGCTGGAAGCACAAGAGGCCACCTGCAGATGCAGGAGGGCTTCAGAAGGTGGGGAGATGCTGTGTTAAGAGGCTAAATTTTGGATGCCCTGGGCAGGGTCATTCAATCTCCATCTACTCTTCCTCCCTGGGGTCTCCAGTCTGTGGGCTTTATTTGTTACTATTTTGTATTTGCTTCTAACCATTAGATAATCAGGGACTCATGGATTTGAACCATCCTCCAGCCCAGGCTCTCCCATCACCTCCATACTCAGGAGCCTAATTTGTGTATTCCCACTTGGATGATGAGTAGGCATCTCAAACTTGCCTTGTTCAAACTCTGACTCTTCATTTGTCCCAAATCTATTCATTTTCTTTGTTTTTTTTAAGAGAGGGGGCTTCACTCTGTCACCTAGGCTAGAGGGCTTGGTGCAATCACAGGCTCTGCAGCCTCAGAATTCCTGCTCAAGTGACCCCCCTGCCATGGCCTCCTAAAGTACTAGGATTATAGGTGTGAACCACAGGGCCTGGCCCTCAAATCTGTTCTTCCCCTTCTCTTCCTTCCCTCTCTAAAGGTCAATTCTAGCCCTCTGGCTTTGAGGTATGTGAGAAGCCACAGTTCTCACACCTCCCTTTCACTCCATCAGCAAACTATTTGCTCAGCTTGCAGGATCCACCCCCAAATCAGACCAGTCCCTGCTGTCCCTGAGGCCAAGCCACCACAATCTCTTACAACAGCTTTCTGAGCCTTGCTTCTACCTTTCAGCCACAGACTCTAATCTCTACAGAAGCCCGACATCATTTTAAAGTATGAATTAGAACATGTCACTCCTCTGCTCAAAATCCTCCACTAACTCGAATGCAAAAAAGAGCCAGAGTCCCCACAGTGTCATATGTCAGGCAACCTGTTCATGCTTCTGACCTTCTCTCCCAGGCTGACTTTCTCAGCATCTCTGAACCCCCAAACACTTTCTGCCTTCCATCCTTTGCACTTGCTGGTCCTCTGGATGATTTTTCCTCCAATGATATGGTCTGCTCCCACCTTTCCTTCAAGTCTCCATCCAGAAGTCATCCTCTCTGACTTCCAGCCCCATGTGTAGCAGCAGCCCCTCTGCTGTAGGACCTCCCTTCTCCTGCCTTTGCCCCCTTTTTGCAGAACACTGATGACCATCTGGCCACTGTACTCCTCCCCCATGAAAATGTAAACTCCATGGTGATGGAACAGTACCTGGCTCATGTAGGGAGTGAACAAAGAAATGCTATCAGTTGAATTTAAAACTCCTTTGAGAGAGCAGTGCCTGTGGCTCAGTGGGTAGGGCACCAGCCCCATATACCGAGCGTGGCAGGTTTGAATCCAGCCTCGGCCAAACTGCAACAAAAAAATAGCTGGGCATTGTGGTGGGCACCTGTAATCCCAGCTGCTCGGGAGTCTGAAGCAAGAGAATTGCCTAAGCCCAGGATTTGGAAGTTGCTGTGAGCTGTGATGCCATAGCACTCTACCGAGAGCAATAAAGTGAGACTATCTCTTAAAAAAAAAATTAAAGAAAAAGTCCTTTGAGAGCTAAGAATAATAAAAATCAACAATTAGTAGTAGTCAGGTGAAAGTATGTTTTTCTTCATGAGAAAAGGAAGGAGAATTTAGAGCATCCGTGACTTTTCCAACTTCCCAGGGTCTGTTTCCTTCATTGACTCACAGGCACTGAGCTCTGGATGCCTTACCTCCTGCAAGACCAGGTTTAAGTGCAAGGGTTCTAGGTTTGAATCCTGCCTCTGGCACTACCTGGCCATGTGAGTTTAGGTGAGAATTACTAATGTTATCTATGCCTCAGTTCCTTCCTTTTCAAAGTAAAGATGATAATTGTAGCCAAGCTGTCAAAGGTCCTTAAATTGAGACTTGAAATAAGCTGGGGCCAGAGAAATTGATTTACAAATTAGTGGGGAGCTCTTGGTACTTACCTGCACATTTTGGTGGTAGAATTAAAAAGCTTCACTTTGTAGCCACTATTGCAAATGAGTAGGAAGAGCTCCTTGGCCAGCGGTGGGTACCAGACCATACAGGTGGGGTAGTCGCCCTGGTCAGTTCGGTGAATGTCCAGGACTTCTAGGTGGTCTTTGCAGCTCCGGCGAAGATTATACTCTATCTGCAGAGGGGCCCAGATGGATACCATAGGGACTTAGCCAAAGAAGAGGCTCAGCTAAGGAGCCTCAAGCTCTTGGTTAATAGCCTTGGTAATTATCAGCCTATAGTACTATTCCAGGGGAGACAGTATCAGGTCTCCAAAAGAAGACTTGCCAAGATCTGACACCTAATCAGTTCCCATTATTGAGCATTTGCTATGAGCAAGATCATGAGCTTAGGGCTCTTAAAGCAACGCCATTTAATCCTCATAACTCCCCTACCAAGTAGTACTATCGTGTTCATTTTACAGATGAGAAAACAGATGTTCAGAGTTGCTTGCCCAAGGTCACATAGTTTAAAAGTGGCAGACTAAAAATTCAAATTTAGGCCCAACTGACTCTGAAACCCAAACTCTTACAGTTCTGTTATCCTACATCTCTTACTGGTAGATCTTAGGAACTCTTTGAGAGCAGGAACTAACTCATAACTAAATCTCAGCACAGCATTCAACCACCGCAAATCAGCAGCCTGCTGAATCTCTCCCATAGTTATGTTTTGGTGAAGAGACCAGGATGGATGGGTAGGTGGATGGATGGATGGAAGTAATAAAGGAAGGAAAGAGAGAAAAGGAAGGGAGCAAGGAGGGAAAGAAGAAAGGATGTGCAGATAAATATATTGACTGATTTTGAATCTTTTGGGCTGGATCCTATAATATTGCATTTCCCACTAACTCACGTCTTTTACTATTTTCATATTTAGGTGACAGCCTGGCCTGACCCCTGCACACAAAGTATTAGTGAGTGTTGGCTTTCACAGAGTGCACAGGGAGGAGGCAAGGGGCAGGTTCTCCATGCTATGGGGACCCTGCCTCCCTTGCCTTCCCACTTGTTGCTTCCCAGAAGCTTCCTCATTTAGAATGTGAGTCTCAGGGCGGCACCTGTGGCTCCGTGGGTATGGCGCCAGCCCCATATGCCCACTGAGGGTGGCGAGTTCAAACTCAGCCCCGGCCAAACTGCAGCAAAAAAAATAGCTAGAATGTGAGTCTCTGTGCCATGTCACACCTGTGTTAAGGCAAAGTGACTAGGTAGAGTAGTGATTTTTAATCAGTGTGCTGTGAAAAATTTTTAAAGATCATTAATTATTATCTTTCCTTTATTAATTAAATTACCTTTGAAGGAAGTTCAAAGAACAGTAAGTATATATATTTTTTACTCTTTTTGTTGATCAACATAATTTAAGTGTGCCATGGAAGTTTAAGTATAGGTTCCAGTGTGCCATGGAATGAGAAAGGCTGAAAAGCACTGAGGTAGAGGAAGGCTAACCAGCTCACCAAAAGCCTGTCTCTCCCAAGGCTCAGCAGTCTGGGCTCATTGCTGTCCAGGTGAACCCCAAACAGGAGACTCTGGATGCTTTTGCGATGAGAACGAAGTCTTGCTAAATATTCCCAGACCCTTTTTCCACGTTTGACTACCATCATGTAAATGGCCACGGTAAAACTTACATCCTAAACGTGAGCACAAAAGAAGTTATTCCTTTTTTAATTTTGTAAATTAATAATCATTATGCTTTTATACTAATTTTGCTTATAGAATATTTTTTTCAGGGCAGCGCCTGTGGCTCAGTGAGTAGGGTGCTGCCCTAATATACTGAGGGTGGCAGGTTTGAACCCGGCCCCGGCCAAACTGCAACAAAAATAGCCGGGTATTGTGGTGGGCACCTGTAGTCCCAGCTACTCCGGAGGCTGAGGCAAGAGAATCGCCTAAGCCCAAGAGCTGAAGGTTGCTGTGAGCTTTCTACTGAGGGCAACAAGGTGAGACTCTGTCTCCTAAAAAAGAAAATTTTCTTCAAAAAAAAAATCTTAGTCTATCAGAGCAAGTAGTAAAATAATACTCATTATACAGGTGAGAAAATTAAGGTTAAAAGCAAGTACCTTGAAAAGGGGGTGGGGGAGAAAGTATTTATTGACGCTATGGTCTTACTCTCCAACCAAGAACCTGAGTCTTTAGGCCTTGTCCATTTCCTTTGTCCAGCTACATAAAATAAAAAAGGTATGATTTAAACAAAGGTGCGAAGGCCGAGAGTGAATCAGATAGGAGTGAGAGAGCCCAGACTCACGGGATACAGAGACAGGGTGCCTAAGCTGTGTGTGCCGACAGTGTGCTAGGACAACTTTTAGCTTCACAAGTGTCGTGTACACAAACCAGAAGAGCAGCCACACCACAGTGGAAAGGGGAGAGTACTGGAAGGGATGGTGGTCTAAGCTGCTTTTCCTCCTCTCAACATAAAGATAGACCAAAAGGGAAGAAGTAAGAGATCTGAGAAAATCTTTCCTGGGATTAAGAGCCAGCCCTATTCACAGAGAGAAGAAACAGAATCCAACATATGGTGGAGGACGCTGCTCTGAGATAAGTCTTATCAAAAATCGGAGAGAAAGATGAAAGAGGCTCGGCGCCTGTGGCTCAAATGGCTAAGGCACCAGCCACATACACCTAAAGTGGTGGGTTCGAATCCAGCCCGGGTCTGCCAAACAACAATGGCGGGCCAAAAAATAACCAAAAAATAGCCAGGCGTTGTGGCGGGCACCTGTGGTCCCAGCTACTTGGGAGGCAGAGGCAAGAGACTTGCTTGAGCCCAGGAGTTGGAGGTTGCTGTGAGCTGTGATGCCATAGCACTCTACCCAGGGGAATAGTTTGAGGCTTTGTCTCAAAAGAAAAAAAAAAAAAAGAAGGATGAAAGAACAAATGCAGAGATATGGTTCCCAAAACCTAACCAAGTGAAATGAGCTGTCAGAGGCACAGAATCTAAGTGGGGAAGTTCTGAGGCCTGGTCTTCAGCCTTTTTTTGGTTTAACAGCTTTATTGAAATATAGCTGACATATGGGTGGCGCCTGTGACTCAGTGAGTAGGGTGCTAGCCCCATATACCAAGGGTGGTGGGTTCAAAACCAGCCCTGGCCAAACTACAGCATAAAATAGCCAGGTATTGTGGCAGGCGCCTGTGGCCCCAGCTACTTGGGAGGCTGAGGCAAGAGAATTGCCTAAGCCCAAGAGCTGGAGATTGCTGTGAGCTATGACACCATAGCACTCTACCGAGGGTGACAAAATGAGACTGCCTCTAAAAAAAAAAAAAAGAAAGAAATATAGCTCACAAACCACACAATTAACTATTTAAAGTGTACAATTCTGTGGTTAGTATTATCACAGAGCTTTGTAATCATCATCACAATTTTAAAGCATTTTCATCACTCCAAAAAGAAAGTCTACATTTCCCCCCCCACCCCTTTCTCTTTTGGTTTTAAATAAGGTCGCTAAGCCACTGGGCAGTCATCAGAGAAAATACTTACAGCAGTTGCCATATACTGAGAATCGTGGGAAAAGCTTATATGTGTCACGCTGGTTCTGGAATATCTGAAAGGCTCTGGGGTATCATTTTCTAAAGACATTGCATCAAGAATATACACTGTCCCCTCTGTGAAGCCAGCTCCAAGAAGGGCTCCTAAAATGACAGGCCAGAGAACAATGATGGAAAAGGACTTCATTCATTTAGGAAATATTGAGTCTGTGGCAGGATTTGTTCTAGGAGACCACAGTGAATACAACAGAGAGATTCCTATACAGAGAAACAAACTGAAAAGCAGGACACCTTTGGATGAGTGCTCAGATAGATAGTACGTGGCCCAGAATGCTGCGGGATCCTGAGAAAGAAGGCATCTTGGTGAACTTGCTGAGGGGGCTCAGAATTGGAGAAAACTTCCTGGAGCTGTGACAGCCAAGGTATATCCCCCCCTTGGGTCTGTTTTCCAATTGGAATCAGTGATAAGCTAAAAAATGCAATTACCTTCGGGGTTGTAGGTCAGACTCTGCACTCCAAGCCCTTTCTCAAAGACCCTACTGAAAAGGTACTTTTTCTTCTCATAATCCCACACTTTGATCATCCCACAGAAGCTCCCTATAGCAATGAGGGATTGATATGGGTGGCAGGAGATAGCACAAATGGCATCCTTAGGCTCTACAAATAACTTTTCAAGTTTGGTCCCATCTATCGTTAAGTGGTACACGGCAGCGTCAGATGTTCCAAAGATAAGATTCCTGTTTGCCAAGGAGAGACCAAACAGTATCAGTGTTTGCAGGGAATGGGGCATGCCAGCTACTCTGCTTCTAATTGCACATAAAACGCCTCTGTCGTCTGTAATTTAGTGACATTATTAACCCAACATCTCCAAAAATATACCACCAATACCCAACAGCCTCCATTTGCAAGTGAAAAAGCCCACTTTTCTACATGTAAATTGAGTCATTAAGTATGCAGATGGACAGTCAGTTGTACAATTAGCTAATCTGCACATGCAAATATTCATTTGTGTATGCAAATATGGAGTTTGGTGCACACATACAGATGTGCCTGTAAATACTGCAAGGGCAATTAAGCAGACTCACAGATAATTTGGTCTTGAGATGTCATGGGCATTAATTATCCAGTGCCTTTCACCATAGTGGCCAGGACACTGCTCAGTGTAGAGAAAAGAGACAATGCTACAGGAAGGACTCCAGACTCAAAAGAGAGAATTTAGGGATCAGGACCTTCCAGCTTCCATTTACTAAAGAGTCTTAACATCAAAATTATGTTTGATTAATTTATAAACGATCAAATAGTGAGATCTACCTGCAAGGCAGGTAAAGGACTGATTAGGAAAGCCAGGTCTCCCTATTTTCTATCCCAGGAACAAGCTGAACCTTCCACAGCATGCAAACTAATCTTTTTTTTTTTTTTGGAGACAAGAGTCTCAAGCTATCGCCCTGAGTAGAGAGCCATGGTATCACAGCTCATAGCAACCTCTCCTGGGCTTAAGTGATTCTCTTGCCTCACAGCCTCCTGAGTAGCTAGAACTACAGGCACCTGCCACAATGCCCAGCTATTTTTTGGTTGTAGTTGTCATTGTTTGGCAGGCCTGGGCTGGATTCAAACCTGCCGGCCCTGGTGTATGTAGCTGGTGCCTTAACCGCTTGAGCTACAGGCACCACCCCATATCAGTCATTTTTTGACCATTCAAATGACTAGAGTCATTCATTCATTCAAATGACTAGATTCATTAACAACTTACCTTACAACAAAAAAGTCACCTTTTAAAGTGCAGTCTGGAGGGTAGTTTGATTTTTCCGTAGGAGGAGATGCTGGGATCTTTGAAAAGGACAGAGTTCTTATGGGGCTCGAGTTGAGGTGACTGTACCAGCTAACGATAGACAGTGTGTGATCATAGAACTTAATGTTCCCCTTAATGTCACCTGTGACAATATAGCTGAAATGGAGAATAATATCAGTTTGGTAAACAGTAGTAATAACAAGTATCTTCTATTGAACACTTAAATTATGTGTCAGACTCTGGATTCCCAGGCACTGTAAAAGCTTTATTTTGTATTGCCCAGTGACACTTATTTTACTGTTATTCAACTTCAAATATAGCAAAGTAAGGCTCAGAGAAGTTAAAAAATTTGGTCAAAATAACATATAGGATCCCCAGTCAAATTTGAATCTCAGATAAATAATAAACAACTTTATAGTATAAGTACATCCCAAAGACTATATAGGACATACTTATACATATCAGGTCCACACAACCAGACTATACAGGGAATCTAGGTGGATCTAAAGCAAAGTCCATGCTCTCAGATACACTTGTCCCTGCCCTCCAAGATTAGCCATATATAATGGCGGCGAGCAGTGATTTATACCCTTCACCACATGACTACAGATGACAATGAAGACAGTTACTCTACCAGCTCTCCGAAATCATACAGGCTGGCAATGGGCTGCTTTACAGAAAGATGCTGCTCATTAGAGTGATCGTAAAACCCTATCCAGTCACCACAGCCAAAGGCAGTGTTGCATGACAAAATGGCTTTTATTTCCAATCCTCGGATCCATCCCAAATGAGTCTCTTTTTTTCTAAAGACTCTGACATAATTCTAATTACACTGAGGAGAAGGAGGAAAAATTTTCTCCTCTATATGCATGCTGATTAAATGAGGTTTCTGATTAATGAGCAAGGCAGGTGGGCAGAGTAATTGGTCACATCTTTCGCTGCCCTCTGCTGGACAGAAGCAGCACAACTGGCCAAAGGTTTTCAGAGACCTTTTCCTTCACCATCCTGGCTGGAGAGGGGGGAACCCAGTTCTGGTCTTCACTGGGTCCTAACCCCCAACTAATTAAAAGGTGATGGCATGGCCAATATCAGTTCTACCATTATTCTTTAGCACCATTGAGTAAGGATGACAATTTGCATTTTTCTTTGTAAAACCATGTCAGGACCTCACTGTTACCTACATCAAAAGAAAAGCAAATGAAAGCAAAATGCACTTTTTGAAAGCTTATGGTATAGTGACTCTAACCATATGGGCAGGGTCCTGTCATTAGACAATTTTCTCCACACTTTTGGGAACTTCCCTTGAACACTAACAATGGCTGCCATTTACCTCGGGCCTCCCCTGTGCTAGCAGTGTGCCTTGTCTCCCTAAAGCCTCATAAAACAGTGCTGAGAGAAATAGTATTGTTATGCCCATTTTACACATAAAGAAATGGAGGCTCAGCAAAGTTAAGTCCCTTGCTCAAGATCACCCAGCAAGAAAGGGCATTAGCTGGAATGCAAACTCAGCTCTGGTGTTCTGTGGTGTTTGATGACCACCTGTGAGTTCCAACAGCTGCTCAAAATCAAAGAGTGAGGGAATTTTATAAAGTTCTGATGTGTTTGATCTTTTCACAATGCGTAAATTTATTTTGTAATCAGAAAAAAATATATAGCTATTTGAGTTATTTTCTTAAATTTAAAGTATATACAATTTGGAGCATGAAATAAGTTTAATTAGCACAGACGAAAAAATCTGTTACTTTTTCTTTCACTAACAAAAGGATTTTTTTAACACACAATTTTTAAAAATCCAAATAGTACAAATGGGACTATAAAAAGAAGTACATCCGGCTCGGCTCCTATAGCTCAACCGGCTAAGGCGCCAGCCACGTACACCTAAGGTGGCGGGTTCGAATCCCCAGCCCGGACCCGCCAAACAACAATGACGGCTGCAACCAAAAAAAAAAAAAAAAATAGCCGGGCGTTGTGGCGGGCGCCTGTGGTCCCAGCTACTTGGGAGGCAGAGGCAGGAGACTCGCTTGAGCCCAGGAGTTGGAGGTTGCTGTGAGCTGTAATGCCACGGTACTCTACCCAGGGGGACAGCTTGAGGCTCTGTCTCAAAAAAAAAAAAAAAAAAAAAAAAGAAGTACATCCACCCCCAGCCTTGCTCCTGGTTCTCAGTTCTTTTCCTCAGAGGCAGTCAGTGTTTCCAGTTAATTGTAACACTCCTCAGAAATATTCTCTGCATATATAAGATATGTGTATACATCCAAAGGAGTTTTAGAATATTTTTGTAATCATCTATAGCTACACTTTTTAATAATTACCTATCAACTGTAGTAAGCACAGTGATAGCTTCTTTCTGCAAATGAACCAATTTACAAGGCTTGATATAGGAAGAGCCCAAAAAGGCAGATGAAGATGAGGGTGAGCGGTGTATGTCCCAGACCACCAGCTTCCCTTCCAGTGTGGCTGAGAGGATTTGTGTTAAATTCAAGTGAAAGACGGACTGGCTAAATTTTCCCACGAGCTTGTTGAAGGTCTGTGTTTCAAAAGACAGGTTATGAGTTATGGTCGGCCAAAAATACAAAACAAACCACTTATCAACATGACATTTTTGTAACATTATGCTAAAATACAGTGGGAGAAAGACAAACTAAAGAACCACTCATTAAAAACCCTCTCCTGTGGATTGCCATGGTCCAGGCCGTTCTGAACCTCTGAAGGTTTGCTAAGAGCAAGTTAAGGGTTATGTTCTATGCTCAATTAAACTGTATAAAGCAAATGGAAGAGTAGATAATAACTGTTATTATATCTGTTAAATTTCTCTTACAGAGGGGTCAAAGACTGATAAAGAAATTGATAAATCCGTTGTGAGCAGAAACATGTTCCAGTATAAAAGAGTTTTCCCAGTCTCCTTTGATCATAAGGTATTTTTCCCACCAGTAAGCAGAAATTATTTAAGTACTATACATAAAAATGCCCTAAATAAGACTCCTTATTAAATTTGTGCTAGGGGAAGACACTAAGCCCACTTTCTCAGTGTCTTAGAGATGAAGTATCAAAAGAACCCAGAGCAGTGATAGAGTCCCCCTTTGAGTGTTGATGGAATGAATGAAAGACAGGAACCCAGTAACCTGTCATATAACGTATAGCAAGTCTGCTGCCCAATTCTCTAATTATGCAGAGAAGATCCGAGGGTTCACCTCTTCTGACTTGAACACAAGAAGAACAGTAAAATAATAATTGGTCAATCAAAAGCATCAAGTTCTTTTTTTTTTGCAGTTTTTGGCCGGGGCTGGGTTTGAACCCACCACCTCCAGCAGCATATAGGGCTAGTGCCCTACTCCTTTGAGCCGCAGGCGCTGCCCTTTTTTTTTTTTTTTTTTTTGCGACAGAGCCTCAAGCTGTTGCCCTGGGTACAATGCTGTGGTATCACAACTCATAGCAACCTCCAACTTCTGGGCTTAAGCAATTCTCTTGCCTCAGCCACCCAAGCAGCTGGGACTACAGGTATGCCCACCAGAACACCTGGCTATTTTTTGATTGTAGTGTCATTGTTGTTTGGTGGGCCCGGGCTGGATTCGAACCTGCCAGCTCTGGTGTATGTGGCTGGCGTCTTAGCCACTTGAGCTACAGGGGCCAAGCCCATCAAGTTCTTTCTAAGAGCAGCTATGTTCAATACAAAGCAGTTTTATCATTTCAAATTGCAGTCACTGCTCGTTATTCATGGATTCTGTATTTTTAAATTCACCTACTTGCTGGAATTTATTCATAACCCTCCCAATCAATAGTCAGCGCTTTCATGGTCATTTGCAGTTTTTCATGTGTAGAGTGGCACAAAATTTGATTCATCCAACACAAATATTCCCAGTTGAGGTCAAACAAAGCAATGCTCTACCTACTTTTTAATTTTATTTTATTTTGAGACAGAGTCTCATTTTGTCACCCTTGGTACAGTGCTGTAGCGTCACAGCTCACAGCAACCTCAAACTCTTGGGTTCATGGGATTCTCTTGCCTCAGCTTCTGGAATAGCTAGGACTACAGGCACTCACCACAATGCCCAGGCTATATTCAGTTAGAGATGGGGTCTTGTTCTTGCTCAGCCTGGTCTCAAACTCGTGAGCTTAGGCAATCCACTCACCTTAGCCTACCAGAGTGCTAGGATTATAGGTGTGACCCACTATGCCAGCCCTGCTCTTTTTTTATTTTGAGACAGAATCTCAAGCTGTCACCCTGGGTAGAGTGCTATGGCATCATAGCTCACAGCAAACTCCAACTCGGGCTCAAGCTATCCTCTTGCCTCAGTTTTTCTATTTTTAGTAGAGATGGGGGGTCTTAACTTTTTCTCAGGTTGGTCTCAAACTCATGAGCTCAAGCAATCCACCTGCCTTGGCCTCCTGGAGTGCTAGGATTACAGGCATGAGCCATGGCACCCAGCCAACTGTCTGCCTTCTTGTTTCAACTCTCATACTGTAAACAAGAGTCCTTTTGTAAGTCAATAACCATGTTGTTTGCCTTTTTACTTAGTAATTTTTCTTGGTGATTTCAAGATTTATATTGGTCCCCAAACATAGTGCTGAAGTGCTATCTAGTGCTCCTAAGCAGAAGAAGGCTGCAATGTGCCTCACTGTGAAAATACATGTGTTAGATGAACTTTGTTCAGGCATGAGCTATAGTGCTGTTCGCTGTAAGCTCAATGTTCATGAACCAATGATATATATTAAATATGATGTTTTAAAACAGAAAACACATATAAAACAAGGTGAGTATTGATCAGTTGGTGAAAATGTGATCAGAGGCCCACAGGAACCTAATCCTGTATTTGCCCGAAGAGAAATGGTTCAATATTTGCTGATTTAGCTCTTGCAGAGACTTTACAGAACATAACGACCACAAATAACGAGAACTGACTGTACTTTTTGATGCTTTCATTTACGAAAACCAAAGTTTGCAGACAGAATAATTTTTCCCTGTATGTCCATCCACCTCATCTTTGTTTTTCTTTTAACATGTCCTCTTCAAAAATAAATATCTATAAATCATATCAAGAGAGAAGAAAGGAAGCAGAAAATTCACCACAAAGTGCTCACTGAGGACAGAGTACAGTGGTACCAAGGTAGAAAATGCTGCAGAACTGGAGTTCCACTTCGGATCTAATAACCTTGAGGTAAGCAGGCAAGGCAAAATATTTTCTCAGTATCTGGTTCACCACCTTCCTATTGACTTTCCAATATCTAAATACCCACTATCATTGTTTATTATTCTGAAACTGAGCAGCTTTATAAGGGATTTACTTATGTTCAGCTATTGTACTTACACCACTTCAAATTAACCTTCATTCTCATTAATATGCACATTGCATTATACTTTTGGATTTTTTTTCCATAACATTTTATTTTTAACAATACTTCCATTATTTTCTTTTCTTTTCTTTTTTTTTTTTTTTAGACAGAGCCTCAAGCTGTCCCCCTGGATAGAGTGCTGTGACGTCACAGCTCACAGCAATCTCCAACTCCTGGGCTCAAGCGAGTCTCCTGCCTCCGCCTCCCAAGTAGCTGGGACCACAGGCGCCCCCGCCAAAACCCCCGGCTATTTTTTGGTTGCAGCCGTCATTTTTGTTTGGCGGGCCCAGGCTGGATTCGAACCCGCCACCTTAGGTGTATGTGGCTGGCGCCTTAGCCACTTGAGCCATAGGCGCCAAGCCACTTCCATTATTTTCAACTGACAATGCAATATGGATAAAGTACACAAGTAAAATGTTTCAAATTATTTCCCAATGGTTTAATATCAAGACTTACAAAGAATAGCCCAAAGGAACCAAGCTTGTACATACATATTTATTCTCCACAAAATCTGATGTATAAAAATGCAACAGGCATACTCACTTTTTCTGTTAAAAGTGGGGCACTGTGAGCAAGTATTTTTCTCTCTTCATACTGATAAGTACAGAAAAAATAATCACTACTAAAAAAAGATCTGGTTTCAAAAGAAGAACTACATAATAACAAAATCAAGACAAATACATCTTAACAAGGTCAGAAATTTGCAATTTCTCCAGGGTAAGAAAACTTACAGCCTTAGGGAACATCTGAAAACATTCTGAAAGAAAAGCAAATACATAAAAGATGCCAAAAATGATTGTGACATTGTGACCCCCGTTTTTTTTCTTGGAGATAGCACTGACTGGAGCACAGTGGTGTCATCACAGCTCATTGCAACCTCAAAACTCCTAGGCTCAAGCAACAATTCTCCTGCCTAAGCCTCCCCAGTAGGTGAGACTACAGGTGTGTGCCAAGACACCTGGTTAATCTTTTCTACTTTTTGTACAGAATTCTCTTGCGTAGGCTGGTCTCAAACTCCTAACCTCAAGCAGTCCTCCTGCCTCAGGCTCCCAGAGTGCTAGGATTATAGGCACGAAGCTCTGTGCCTGGCCTAATTTCAATGTTTCTTTAATCTTAGGATTTTGCCCTGTGCTAGTATATTCAGTATATCACTGATCTGCTTTCTTTTCTTTTTGTCTTGTTTTTTGGGGTTTTTTTGTGTGTGTGTGTGTGTGTGTGTGTGCTAATTTCTTTCTAACAGGAAATAAAGTCTAATGTCTCAAAACCCCCTATATTTTAGACCTTTTAAATACAGGTATATCCAAATAGGCCAGGCTAATCCTAGCACTCATGGGAAGCCAAGGTGGCAGGATTCCTTGAGCTCACGAATTCAAGACCAGCCCACCCAAGAGCCAAGGCCCTGTCTCTACTAACTAGAAAAATAAGGTGAGCATGGTCACTCAAGCCTGTAGTCCCAGGTACTCCGGAGGCTGAGTCAGAAGGATTGTTTGAGCCCAAGAGTTTAAGATCGCTGTCAGCTGTGACGATGCCACTGCCCTCTAGACTGCATGACAGAGCAAGACTGTATCTCAGAAAAAAAAAAAAAGAAAAGAAAAGTGTGTGTTCAAATAAATATCTGCTCATTATGTTAATAAAATTAAATTATCTGCTTTGGATTAAATATGCTAATTTCTAATGGGACTAAAATAAATACTGTAATTAAATCATAACATTTTAACATAGATCCATTGCTTTCTAAGTAGAAATATATGTTTACGTTATCAAAACATCAGTATTTAAGGAATGAACATACATTTGTACTCACATTTAAAACAAATCAAAATATTTCTACTTACCCATGAATAATATATTGCCTGTGTTCTACTATTGCTCACCAATTCTTTATCATTAGTTGGATTAAAAGTAAGGTGGTTCTGAAACATAAAGTATGGAAATATATTAATGCTAATAAATATTCTCAACTATGGCCATTCTACTCTGAACACACCTGATCTCATCTGATAATAAATTTTCTTTCTGTGGTTAAACTGAATGTTAAAATTAAATAATAATTTTAATTAAGATAAAGGAATAGGAATATAAAAAAGAAACTACATGGCATTTGGTAAACAATAGGAATATCTTTTAAATACTAGTTTTTAAAATAGTGTCAAATGTATTATTTTTCTAGTATTATTTTTTATAATCATCATCTGTAAATTGGAACAAAAAAGAGTAAACCAGTATTCATCAATAACCTTTATTCTTGGTTATTCAGTCTTCTTATTCCATAACCCTTATTCAGTCTTTTGGAAGACTGCTGTACACACATTTCTAAATTTGACAGGGCCACACGGTATCCTGGAATGAATGTAAGACCCTGGAAGAGGTTTCTGATTCCTGCCAAGAAGTTGCTGTCTTCCTTCCCAAAAACTGACTCCGCAGAAACCATGCAAGTGAGGGAAACATTACGTGAAGAAACAAAACAATCACAGCAACAACAACAAAGTGAGATAGACATTTCTGTGGAGCTATGAGGTTATGTGTCCTGAGACGTGCATGGGAGGTGACTGCAGCCTGGGGCGAAGGGCTGCAGAAAGAATGTGAGGACTGGCTCGGCGCCTATAGCTCAACCGGCTAAGGCGCCAGCCACGTACACCTAAGGTGGCAGGTTCGAATCCCCAGCCCGGACCTGCCAAAACAACAATGATGGCTGCAACCAAAAAATAGCTGGGCGTTGTGGCAGGTGCCCGTGGTCCCAGCTACTTGGGAGGTGGAGGCAGGAGACTCGCTTGAGCCCAGGAGCTGGAGGTTGCTGTGAGCTGTAATGCCACGGCACTCTACCCAGGGGGACAGCTTGAGGCTCTGTCTCAAAAAAAAAAAAAATAAATAAATAAATATAAGCTTCCATGTTTAATAAAAAATAGAATTCTATTTAAAAAAAAAAAAAAAAAGAATGTGAGGACAGACTGAGACAAAGCTTTTTAAGTTCTATTCCTCCCATGTCCACCCCATCTGCACACCTGTTCCTAACCTGTCACTTGCTGCATCACTACCAGTGCCAGTGTCTGAGACTTAACATCAGGACAGCACAAAAGCCTGAGTGTGGGGACGAACTGATAAAAGCAAGCGCATGGACCAGACCTCACAAAGACTGAGAATCAGTCTCAAGTCACCTAGAATTCTTTCTTTATTCAAAGGATTTGTTCTATAAAATTTGGATTCTGTCAAAAGCCCATACTTAAATAGAAAAAATTAGCCAGGCATAGTGGCAGGCACTTGTAGTACCAGCTACCCTGGGGGCTAAGGCAGGCAGATTGCTTGAACCCAGGAGTTTGAGGTTGCCATGAGCTAGGCTGATGCCATAACACTCTAGCCTGGGCAACACAGTGAAACTCTGTCTTAAAATAAAATAAAATGGCCACACTCAAGATCCACAAGGCCACAGGTTCCCCACCCCTGGAAGGTGACCATTCTGTCAAATGCCTGTAAGAAACAAATGTAGGTCTTCTTTGGAGGAAGTTATTTTCCTGAGCCTCAAATTATTTATACGCTTTTTAAAACACAACATTGGCTATTCAACAAAAAAATACCAAGGCAAATGAAACAGACACATCCAAATGACTGAACATCAAGGAGAAAAGCAATCAGCAGAAAGAGTCAACAGCAGAAATTTAGGTATTGGAGTTTTCAGGCACAGACGTGACAATAATAACTGTAATTAATGTGTATGAAAAAGCAGAAGACAAGATGGAGAATCCTAGCAGATAGCTCTATTTAAATAATCAAATGGAAATTCTAGGTATGAAAAAAATGATGAAAAATTTAATAGGCTCAGCGCCCATAACACAGTGGTTACGGTGACAGCCATATACACCTAGGCTGGCAGGTTCGAACCTAGCCTGGGCCAACTACACAACAATGACAGCTGCAACAAAAAATAGCTGGGCATTGTGGTGGATGCCTGTAGTTCTAGCTACTTGGGAGGCTGCGGCAAGAGAATCACTTAAGCCCAAGAGTTTGTGGTTGCTGTGAGCTGTGACATCACAGCACTCTACCAAAGGTGACTTACTGAAACTCTGTCTCAAAAATAAATAAATAAACAAAAACTTGGGTGGCGGCCATAGCTCAGTGGATAGGATGCTGGCCCCATATACTGAGGGTGGCAGGTTCAAACCTGGCCCTGGCCAAACTGCAACAAAAAAATAGCCAGGCACTGTGGTGGGCATCCATAGTCCCACCTACCTGGGAGGCTAAGGCAAGAGAATCGCCTAAGCTCAGGAGTTGGAGGTTGCTGTGAGCTGTGTGATGCCATGGCACTCTACCGAGGGTGATAAAGTGAGACTATCTCTACAAAAATAAATAAATAAATAAAAATAATAAAATAAAATTTTATTAATTTTAATTTATATAAAATTAATAGATGGTTTAACAAAAAAGTAGATATAGCCAAAAAAGGATTAGTCAATAGGAAAGGAAGATAAATTATAGTAGAAAATATCCAGACTGAAGCACAAAGAGATAAAAGAATAGAAAGAGAATTTAAGACAAATAGGGTAAGATGAAAAAATGTATAACTTACATTAAGGGGAGTCCCAAAAGGAGAATGAAGAAAGAATGTGAGAGAAGGAAATGTTTAAATAAACAATGACAGACCAGGCCAGAGGCTCATGCCTATAACTCTAGCCCTTTGGGAGGCCAAGGTGAGAGGATCACTTGAGGTCAGGAGTGTAAGACACCCTGGACAACACAAAAAAATGCTGTCTCTACAATAAAAAATAGAAAAATTAGCCAGGTGTAGTAGCACACACCTGTAGTCCCAGCTACTCAGGAAGCTAAGGCAGAAGGATTGCTCGAGCCCAGGAGTTAAGACCAGCCTGGGCGATAGTGAGACCCCATTTCTACAAAAACTACAAAAATTAACCTGGCATGGTGACATGAGCCTATGGTCCTAGTTACTCAGGAGACTGAGGCAGGAGAATCACTTGAGTCTAGGAATTTGAGGCTGCAGTGGGCTGTAATCACACCATTGTACTCTATCCCACGCAACAGAGCAAGATAGCAAGACATTGTCTCAAAAAAAAAAAAAAAGAAAGAAAGAAAGAAAGAAAAAAGATGGCTTGGTAGCTGGCTTTTCAACAGAAATGGTAGAAGTCAGAAGATAATGGAATTATGTCTTTGAGGATATGAAATGCAGAAGAAAAATACTAACTGCCACTCTAGAATTCTATGCCTAAGGAAAATATCCTTCAAAATCAAAGACTTATACATGACCATTCACAACAGCTTTATTTATTTATTTATTTATTTTGCAGTTTTTGGCCGGGGCTGGGTTTGAACCCACCACCTCCGGCATATGGGGCCAGTGCCCTACTCCTTTGAGCCACAGGCGCTGCCCAGCAGCTTTATTTTTAATAGCCATAACCAGGAAGTAACCCAGTGCCAACCCAGTGTCATCAAACAAATTATGACATATCCATTCAATGTACTACTATATTTTAATTATTAAATCAGAGTGCAATTATCACTCTGATGGCTATGAGAAGATTAAGAGATGAGGCACAAAGGAGAGCAGAGAGACCGCTAGAAGAATGGTGGAGGTGGATAGCAATGACTGTGGACTGGACCAGGATGGTGGCAACAGATATGGAGAGGAGAGGAAAGATTTTAGGATATATCTTAGAAGTAAAAGGTACTTTAAGCCTTGGGAATGAATGAGAATACCCAAGAAGAAAGTATAGCAAGAAGAAGAGGAAGATCTCCACGAACCAAATCCTAAGGAACACCAGTATTTAGAAAGTATACAAATGAATGAAAAAGAATCTACAAAGCCTAAAAAAGAATGGCCAATGAAGTAGCAGGAAAAAAATCTGTAAGCCCACCTGGAAAAGTGTAATTGTTATGGAGAGGAAGAGTGAAAAGAGGATTTAATGAGGTTCATTTGATTTGAAAACACCAGTGACCATGATAAGCATAGTTTTAGTGGAGTCATGGCAAGGAGGAAAAACTATGTAGCTGTGAAAATGAAAGAATTACAGCTCGAGAGTCAACACAGATGAATCTCAGAAAACCGTGGAAATAACCAATAGAAAACAGTGGACATAACCAATAGAATGTATTCCAAATACATAAAGGTCAAACAAGATAGTACTGAGGGATACACATATCACTGTAGAAAAGTAAAACGAAATGCAAAGGAATGCACAAAATTTGGGGACGTGGTTAACCTCAGAGGAAGAAAGGATGAGATTAAGGGAAGGGGAACAAAGAGGGCTTCTAGGATTTAGATAACACTCTATTTCTTGATCCACTGGTAAATACATAGGTATGTTTGGTTTTCCTCTTTAAAATATACACATTTTGCGTGTATGCATTATTTTACAATAACAATTTAAAGAGATCAAATATTTCTTGCAGAAAAAAGAGTGAAGAAGAGACGAGAAGTAGAGAAAGCAAGTGAAGACAACTCTTCTGAGCAGTTTCACTGTGAAGAGAAGCAGAGGGCAGACGTGGGGTCAAAAGGAGTTCTGTAAAGACAGGGGACATGAAAACATGTTTCTGTGTTAATGAGAATAATGATCCAGAGGGGGAGAGGTGACGGCTGCAGGAGGGGGCCCTGAGGGAGAGGGAAATAAGAAACTAAAGAAGACATAAATAAATGGCAAGATAATCCTATGTGCTGCCCTTCACGGCAATCAGAAGGAAAAAGAGAGGACAGTGAAGTCAGAAGTAGGCTGCAGGCCTGGGAGTGAGAATGGCCAGTGTTGGTACCTGATGGCTTCCATTTTCTCAAGGCCCTATGAGAGCTGGTTGTCAGCTGAGTGAGGAGAAGGGCTGAAAGAGTAGGGAGGAAGCAGGAACTGTTATTCCTGGAGACAGAACCCATTAGGACAGCCAGGCAGGCAGTGCTGAGAGTCCTTTTGAACTTTACTACTGAATTCAAGGACAAAATTATTTATTTATTTTTTTTTTGAGACAGAGTCTCACTCTGTCACGCTGGGTAGAGTGCCATAACATCATAGTTCACAGAACCTCAAAATCCTGGGCTTGAGCAATCCTCTTGCCTCGGCTTCCTAAGAAGCTAAGACTACAACTATGTGCCACTACTCCTGGCTAGTTTTTTTTTTAATTTTTAGTAGAGATGGGGTCTTGTTCTTGCTCAAGCTGGTCTTGAACTCCTAAGATTCCTTAAAGCTCAAGCAATCCACCCGCCTCAGCCTCCCAGACTGCTAGGATTATGGGCGTGAGCCACTGCACCTGGCCCTGGGTGGTCCCTTTAGCTTTCTGTACCCAGCTACAGCTGTGAAGAGCAGGCTGATAGCAGGTTTATCCAGTGTTGGGGGGCTTTTGCAGCCTGGTCTGACAGAACTTGCTGGAACGTGAGGATGGAAATGCTCTATACTCTGTGCTATCAACAGGAGCCAACAGCCACATGGCTAATAAGCACTTGAAATGTGGCCAGCAAAACTGAGGAACCCAATTTGTAATTTAATTCCATTTTAATAGATTGCAAAGTTGCAGAATACAAAACCAACACACAAAAATCAGCTGCAGCTGGGCACAGTGGTTCATACATTTTGAGAGGCCCAGGCAGGAGGACTGCTTGAGTCCAGGAGTTCAAAACCAGACTGAGAAACATAGCCAGATACCATCTCTACAAAAATAGTAAAAAGAAGATTAGTCAGGCATAATGGCATGTGCCCGTAGTCTCAGGTACTCTAGAGGCTGAGGTGGGAAGATCCTTTGAGACCAGGAGTTAGAGGCTGCAATAGTCTATGATTGGGCTCTTACACCCTAGCCTGGGCTGGGTGTAGTGCCCTGTAATCCTAGTGCTCTGGGAGGCCAAGGCTGGTGGATTGCTTGAGTTCAGGAGTTTGAGACCACCCTGAGCAAGAGTAAGACCCTACTAAAAATAGAAAAACTAGCCAGGAGCCTGTAGTCCCAGGTACTTGGAAGGCTAAGGCAAGAGGATCATTTGAGCCCAAGAGACTGAAGTTGCTGTAAGCTATGTTGATGTCATGGCACTCTACCCAGAGCAACAGAGTGAGACTGTTTAAAAAAAAAAAATCAGCTGCTATTCTGTACACTAGCACAAACAATCTGAATAGGAAATTAAGAAAACAATTCGGCTTGGCGCCTATAGCTCAACCGGCTAAGGTGCCAGCCACATACACCTAAGGTGGCGGGTTCGAATCCCCAGCCCAGACCTGCCAAACAACAATGATGACTGCAACCAAAAAATAGCCAGGCGTTGTGGCGGGCGCCTGTGGTCCCAGCTACTTGGGAGGCTGAGGCAGGAGACTCGCTTGAGCCCAGGAGTTGGAGGTTGTTGTGAGCTGTGATGTCATGGCACTCTACCCAGGGGGACAGCTTGAGACTCTGTCTCAAAAAAAAAAAAAAAAAAGAAAGAAAACAATTCCATCTACATTTGCATCACAAAAACAAAATACTTAGGAATAAATTTAACCAAGGAAGTGAGAGATGTATACCCTGAGAATTACAAAACATTGCTGAAAGAAATTAAAGACCCAAATAAATACCAAGATATCCTGTGCTCATGAATTGTGAAAAGGATGATACTACCCAAAGGGATCTACAGATTCAATACAATCTCCATCAAAATCCTAAAGGTGTTTTTTCAGCAATAGGAGAGACCCATCCTAAATAGCCATGTGGCTGGTGGCTACTGTATTAGTGCAACTTTAAGAGGAAAAAATTTTTTCAAGAGCAGGAGGACTATTGTGAGGAAAGGAGAGAAGATAAGCATAAGGCTGCGTGTAGTTACCCAAACTGTCTGCTGGGGTTTTAGATCTGCAAGCCAAGTATGTACTTATCACAGTGCCTGGCACAGAGGAGGCACTCAATAATTACACAATGAAAGAAGGGCACAAGGATGAGTGAGACAACATAGACCAGCAGTGATGCACGAAATCAAGAGACCTGGTACAAACTTTCTTGGTGTTCTTGGCAAGTCACCTCATGTAAAGTGAGAATGATAATTTTCTCTATATACCTCATAACCTCTTACAGGGTTAGAAGCAGGTAAGAGGATGCTTCTCGAATAACAAAGGCAGCTAGTGGATGATTTCAGACAAATTATTTAATAATTAATAATAGTATTCCACAGATATTAATATCTTCTTGCTGGCATGTTTATATGGATTATGTGAGATAATGTAAGTAAAGAATTTAGCAGAGGGCACGGCGCCTGTGACTCAAAGGAGTAGGGTGCTGGCCCCAGCCCCAGCCAAAAACTGCAAAAAAAAAAAAGAATTTAGCAGAATTGGACACGTAAGTGCCTGAAAAGTATTAGCTATTATTATCAAAGATCAAATGAGATTCAGGGATATGAAAGTGTTTTTTAAAAGCTCTACTGCACTATAATAAAACTCTACTGAAATGAAAACTAGAATTTTGTTTTTGTTTTCTTTGAGACAGAGTCTCACTTTGTCGCCCTTGGTAGAGTGCTGTAGTGTTATAGCTCGTAGCAACCTCAAACTCTTGGGCTCAGACTATCCTCTTGCTTCAGAGAATACTTGGCTTGCAGTCCCAAGTAGCTGGGACTACATGTGCCCACCACAATGCCCAACTGTTTTTAGAGACAGGTCTTGCTCTTGCTCAGGCTGGTCTCGAACCTGTGAGGTCAGGCAATCCACCTGCCTTGGCCTTCCAGAGTGCTAGGATTATAGGTGTGAGCCACCACACCTGGCCCAAAAAGTAGGTTTTGATCTGGCATCACTGTAATTTTAGGTTGATATTTACAGGTTTAAATTGAACTCACCTGAAGACCATACTCTTTGGGGAGTTCAAGAGTACATGCTGGTACTTCCACCGCCAAAGTCCACTTCCAGATGCACACTTTCTGTAAATGATGGCAGACAGAAGGGCATGAACAGGTCTCTGAAGGCTACTGAAATAATATCTCCTGCGGGGACTCTGCAACTTCAAGTAACTAAGCAAAGTAGCACCAGCTAAACCACAAGTACAGAGGCTTTGATTCTATACTGTGGAGGCTGGTTGTCTTCTGATGTCACTGATGTCATGCAGACTGAGCAGAGCTGCCTGAGGGACACTCTTGCTGGCCAACTTGCTGAGGCTGACCCTAAGGGCCCTTTACCTGGACTTCAGCATCCGAGATGGTTGCCAGATATTTGGAGTCACGGGTCATGGCTATTGCCCTGATGCCGTTCCCTTCTGGGCAGCTGTCAAATATTGTGTGTACAGGAATACTGTGAAAAAACAGGACAAGGAGGTCTCCCTGATTTCCCAGTGGGGCTGGGGCAGGTCTGAGCTCAGCTCAAACCTTCTGAACACATAACAAAATGTGGCACATCTGTACAATGAAATATTATTTGGCCATAAAGAGGAATAAAGCACTGACATGAACTACAACATGAACGAGCCTCAAAAACGTGATGTTGGTGGCACCTGTGGCTCAGTGAGTAGGGCACTGGACTCATATATCAAGGGTGGCGGGTTCCAACCCGGCCCCAGCCAAACTGCAACAACAACGACAGAAAAAATAGCCGGGCATTGTGGTGGGTGCCTGTAGTCCCAGCTACTCAGGAGGCTGAGGCAAGAGAATCACCTAAGCCCAGGAATTGGAGGTTGCTGTGAGCTATGATGTCACAGCACTCTACCGAGGGCAACAAAGTGAGACTCTGTCTCTTAAAAAAAAAAAAAAAGTGATGTTGAGTGAAGGAACCCAGACACAAAAGGCCACAAATTGTATAGTTCCATACGAAATATTCAGAGTAGACAAATCCATAGAGACAAAAAGTAGATTGGTGGTTGCCAGAAGGTAGAGGGAGAGAGAAATCGGGAGTGGCTGATGATGGGTACAGAGACTCCTTTGGGGATCATGAAAATGTTTTGGAAATAGATAGAGGGGATGACCGCACAACGACAGTACATACATACTAAATGCCACTGAACTGTACCCTTTAAAATGGTTGATTCTAGGCCAGGCGCAATGGCTCACATCTGTAATCCTAGGACTCTGGAAGGCTGAGGTGGGTGGATTGCTTGAGCTCAGTAGTTTGAGACCAGCCTGAGCAAGAGTAAGGCCTCGTCTCTACTAAAAATAAAAAAACTAGGCTTGGCGCGTGTAGCTTAAGCAGCTAAGGCGCCAGCCACATACACCATTCGAAGCTGGCAGGTTCGAATCAGCTGGGTCTGCCAAACAATAATGACAACTACAACCAAAAAGCAGCTGGGCGTTATGGTGGGCACCTGTAGTCCCAGCTACTTGGGAGGTGGAGGCAAGAGAATCACTTAAGCTCAGGAGCTGGAGGTTGCTGTGAGCTGTGATGCCACAGCACTCTGCCCAAGGCAACAGCTTGAGGCTCTGTCTCAAAAAAAAAAAAAGCAACTAGCCAGGCAAAGTGCCTGGTGCCTGTAGTCCAGCTACTCAGGAGACTGAAGCAAGAGAATCATTTGAGCTCAGGAGTTTGACGTTGCTGTGAGTAATGATGCCACAGTACTCTACCCAAGGTAACAGAGTGAAACTCTGTCTCAAAGAAAAATAAATAAATAAAATGGTTGATTTTATGTTATGTGAATTACACCTCAATAATAATAAAAAATAAAGCCGGGAGGCGCCTGTGGCTCAAAGAAGTAGGGCGCCAGCCCCATATACTAGAGGTGGTGGGTTCAAACACAGCCCCGGCCAAAAACTGCAAAATAAATAAATAAATAAATAAAGCTCAACTCAGGGCAGGATGTCAATGTGCTGTTTGCTTTCCTCATAAACTATAGTCTTTCATTCACTCCTTACTGGGGGTCAATTCTTACAGGTAGGAAGAATGAGAACATGTAAAAACTGACTAGGACAATGTCCCAGCTTCAGGAAAATGGGAACTCTCCTACACAGGTGGGAATGTAAATGAACATAACCTTGTAGATAGCAGTTCAGCTGTATCTATCTAAAATTTTCAATGCATATATCCTATGGCCCAGTAATGCCACGCCCAAGACGTTTTCCTAGAAAAATAACAGCAAAAGTAAACAAAAGATCAATGAAAATTCACAATCATTAATAGCAAAAATAAAACAACATAAATATGCATTAATATATCATATGCAAATTGTTGAAAAATATTAAGGCATAACCATATAATGAAAAATTATGCTGCCTGGTAAAAGAATGGGTTAGATTAGAAAAGTGACCAAAATTTTATGGAAAAAGTGAATTACAAAACAACACCATCTTGATCATGAGAGAGGGAGAGAGAGAGAACTTGAGAGTATGAGCGCAAATATCAGAAAATTCTAGAAGATAGGCTGGGTGCGATGGCTCATGCCTATAATCCTAGCACTCTGGAAGGCCAAGGAGGATGGATTGCTTGAGCTCAGGAGTTCAAAAGCAACCTGAGCAAGAGTGAGACCTGTCTCTAAAAATAACCTGGTGTTGTGGTGGGTGTCTGTAGTCCCAGATGCTAGGGAGGCAGAGGCAAGAGGATCACTTGAGCCCAAGAGTTTGAGGTTGCTGTAAGCTATGATGCTACAGCATCTACCCAGGGGGACAGAGTGAGACTCTGTCTC